TCTCTCTCTCTCTCTCTCTCTCTCTCTCTCTCTCTCTCTCTCTCTCTCTCTCTCTCCTGCTTACGCGCGCTGTAGAGAATCGCCGAGATCCTGGCGAACACTCCCGTCTCTCCTGCATCAGCCAGTTGATGTGTCCGTGTGCGCCGCCCGTCGTCGGAAGCGAGTGTGCTCGTGCGTGCGTTCTCTCTCGCGCGCCCCCGTACTCTCAATCCTCTATAGCCAGTCGGCCTGCCGGGCGTTCTCCCCCCCCGTGCGCGTTCGAGCTCTCCTGCCTTCTTCTCTATCGCCCTCCCTTTTATACTTTTTTTTTTTCTTTTTATTTTCTCTCTTCCCTTTGCCCCATCCACTGGCCGAGCCAAGTTCGTAATTTTTGGTCGAATTTTTCATTTCTCGCCTCCCTCCTATTCTTCTTCTCTCTGCCCCCGCTCACTCTCTCCCTATCCACCCTCGCCCCCTTCTCCTCTAATGGCATCTTCCCCTTCACTGCCACCCGGATTGGTGCTGGGTGCTTTCGCGAATTCCCCCGCCTGCGTTTCTAACCTTTCTTCCTGCCTCCTTCCTCGGCTCGTTCTGCCCTTCTTGTTTTAGCGCGCGCGCATCGGATCCCAACTGTAAACATAAATTCTTTTTGGAGGAGATCTGTATCCGTCTTTTCTTTTTGCGGGAGGCATGCCCCTTCTCCTCCAATGGCCCCTTTCCCTTCTTTGCACCCAAGATTGGTATCGAGTGCTTTCGCGAATTCCCACCCCCGCAATTCCAACCTTTCTTCCCGCCTCTTTCCTCAGCTCGTTCTGCCTTTCTTGTTTTAGTGCGCGCGCACCGGATCTCAACTGTAAACGGAAAACTCTTTTGAAGGAGATTTTCACTTGCCCCCTTTTCTTGTCGATCCTCCCTCTCATTTTTCCGGACCAATCAGGCCTTTGCTCTCGGCTTGCCCCATACCTCTTCTTCTCGCCCACACTCACTTCGGCGCTGCTCGTCTGTTCACTAGCCAATTGCAGGTAGCCCCCTCCTTGTAAAGCGGGGCCCAAATCGGTCTTGGTAGTCCATCTAGCATGGTCGTCCGGCCCTCGTGTCGGTTCTTCTTCTCAATGCTGTCATATGGTGGGTCCCGTCTGGTCGCTGTTACAACTCCTTTTTGCCGAGGCCCCCCCCTTTTCCAAGGAGTCGCCATCGCACCGGAATTCACCAAGTTGCCCCCCCCCATCCCCATACAGATCTGGCCCCACAAAACTCTCCCCTTTCGTCGCGGTCACTTGCGCCAAGCTCGCGACGAATTTCTTTGGACCCCGTATGTCCCGCTGTTCTGCGTTAAGTTGTGTCGCGCAAGACCCATCAGGCCCAATCGTCGCTCAAAGTCAAAACCTGGGTTTTTACCAGTTTCCTTGTTCTTTCCTAAGTTCTCTCATTTTCGAGTATTTCCGGGTCCGTTCAAAGTCTGCCTTCAACCCTTGCTCTCTCGATCCGCCATCAAAACTCTGAATCCACTCGAGTCCGCTTGCGATCTTTCCTCGGCCCCTCTGGGATCAGCCGACGGGCGAGGCAGTTCCCCCCCCCCCCTTGGGCTCAGTTCCTTGCCGCTGGCTAGCTCGCCTCTCCTCGGTGCTTCTCTAGCTCGCCTCAGACAGTCCCCCTCGGCACCTCCTTCCTTTAACCGCAGTCCTCCGGCCGCGCATAACCAGCCTTCGTCATCCCCGGCCATAGTATTACATGTCGCCCATTGTAGTCCACCTCTGCCTCCCTTAGGTCCCCTCCTTCCGAATTTTTGATAGCCCATCCCTAGGCTGGCCACCATCCCTCAGTTCTCCGGTTTTAGCCCTGAAAACCCGATTTTTGGGATCCGCGCCCTCGCGCTTGCGACCAAGGTTCGGACAGCCACTCCAGCCAACCGAAGGGTTAGTACGAAGACCCGGACGCTCGAGCACATCCTTAGCCACCACATCCACATGCATGCGTACGTCAAAACCACGCAAGAACAGCAAAAAAAGGAAAAAATCGTTTCTTTTTTTTAAAGAGAAAAGCCTTCGGCTGGTAGGCAGCCGCCCGACAACCAGCCCACACCCCATTTCTCACCGTCCCCGGCGAGTCTCTTTCACGACCCCTCCCTTTCTAACCATCGCCCCTCGCCAAATGTTTACCCATGAAATTTTCCTCCCGTTTCACCCCATTTTCTTGGTTAGATTACCAAACTTACCCCCTTCGTCTTGTCACGACGCTATCCATGACCCCCGGCACATTCCTACCCTATGACACCGGTCTATGGTACAATACCTACTTGGGATTACGGCTCATTGCCCCTCACGACACCCGTTTGTTTAACTATGGTATATCATGGTACAAATTTCCCTTCGACATATCACTTTCCCCAGTCCACGTTTTTCTAACTATGGCACACTATTCTCCTCCCCCTTTTTACGCCCATCTCCGTCTCCTCATCCTCTTCTCGCGCCTCTCTCTCTTCCGTTTTCTCTCCTTTCTCTCACGTTTGAGTCTCAGGGCTCTTTCTTGACGCATTCCTTCTTTCGTTCATCCTGCGTTTCCTCAATCGGTCAGTATCTCCGTCATCCTCCCTCGGTCGTTTCTTCTTCCTAGGGGTCTTTGGTCGGGCCGTTTTCCGAACCTTATACCCTTTCTTTGGGGGTCGAGAAGAGGCTCCTTGTTTGGAGGTCTCCCCTTTTTCGTGGGTTACGCTCACCTCTGTGTCAATAGCTTCTTTTCCTTTCCGCCCCGGCTCTTCCCCAAGGGTCTCTCGTGATCAGAAGATTTTAAGACGAGCCCCTGCGACAGGATCGCGTAGCCGACTCCCATCTAATTCCGCGAGCATGTAAGCCCCCCCCTCCAACCTCGTTAGGACCTTATACGGTCCCATCCATCGGTTCGCCAAATTCCGGCTCCAGGTCTTTTCTAGTGACGAATCATACATCAACACTAGGTCGTTAACCCGTATCGGCGCCTTTCGGACCCGCAGATTTTTGTCCCACCTATCTTTTCCTTTCACCCTTTCTCTCTCGATGTTTTCTCCCGCCTTGGTTATCCAAATTCTCAGCTATTTGTTGGATCCGTGCCTCCAATAGTTCAATCCGGGTCATGTTGGTTTTCCATGAGACACTCATCCAAGTGTTGACGTGGAACTCGATAGGTAGGGGACAATGCCTACCGAACCAAAGGGTGTAAAGGGGGTACTCTGTGCTGGATTTGACCGTGATGTTATCGGCCCAAACAGCGTACCGTAAATACCTTGGCCACTGTTCTGCGCGGCCTTTGCACCATTTCGCTAGAACGTCCACAAGCGTCTGGTGGCCCCTTTCTACCGGTGCATTGCTTTGGGGGTGATAAGCGGTCGTATAGGCCGCCCCGATCCCTGCCTTTTCCAGTAATACCTTGACCTTCTGGCTCAAGAATTCCGCCCCACTATCCATAACTATTTTCCCGTACCGCTTGACATACTCTAGGAGAAAATCACTCACCTCTTCGGCCGTTTTCTTTTTAATGGCCTTAGCTTCCTCGAACCCGCTGAGATCGTTGCGGGCGTTGATTATGTATCGAAGTCCGCCGACCCCTTTTGGCATGGTTACCAAATACACGTGGACCTTCTCACCCGAAACCGTGGGAAGCAATGGGACTAAGGGCTCTTTGTATCGAACTGTTGCTCTCTTCTGGCAAGGTTCACATGTTGAACAGTACTTTTCCACTTCCGTGTATTGCCCGTCCCACCAATAAAGCCTACGGACCTTATCGAAAGTACCCTTCACCCGCCTATGACCCCCAACGACCCCGTCGTGGAGTTCCTCTATGACCGCCCTTCTTTCCTCAGGATCGCACAGTACCCTCATGGGTATCGCAAACTTGGTGCGCCTCTTGAAGATATGGCCTCCTCGCACGCAATACCCCATCGCCTCTTGCCGGATTCTTTCGGTCCCTGTTTCCCTACCGGCTAAGAACAACCTTATGTCTCGGTACTTTCCGTCGTAGAGATTTGCGAGAAAAGTCCTTGGGCCCCCTTCTTCTCCTCGGCGGCGACTTTCATTATCTCTTCTTTGGCCATTGTCACTTCTTCCTCCTTAAGCCTAGGCAGGTCCTCCTCACGAATGGGAAGCCGGGACAATCCGTCCGCGACGTGGTTCTTGGTCCCTGATATCCTCTCGACCCTATAGTCGTAAAGCCTAATAGGTATCATCCATCGGGCGATGGCCGGCTCGGTCAGCGAGAAATCCTTTTGAAGGACCGCCGCCACTATAGTTGGGTCCACTCGCAGGAGAAATCGTCGCCCGTATAGGTAATGACGGAAGGCCTTTAGGCAATGCAGGACCCCTAACACCTCCTTTTTGAATTGGCTATAATTTCTCTCTGCTCCACCTTCGCGTAATTCCCCCTTCAAAGCTTCCATGGCCGCTTCCTGTGCTTCCCCCCAAACCCATCCTTCTGATTTCCTAAGGAGTCTTCTAAGGGGTTCCGCTATCTCTCCATAGGCTTTTATGAAGATTCTCCAGTAGCCCACAGCCCCCAGAAACTGTCGGACTTCCGTTATGGACTTGAGCGGTGACGGCCAGGTCATCAATTTTACTAATTTTTCGGGGTCGGGCCTTCGCCCATCCATATCGCAAATGAACCCCAGTATCTTGATGGAGGACACTCCCCAACGACTCTTAGTTCCGCTTATCGTGAGGTTGGCATCATCTAGCTTCTCAAGGACGCTTCTGACGTCACTCATATGGTCGGCCACGAATTTTCTCACCCCCGAGAAGACCTCCATCTTATCCCGTTCGACCGGCCCTTTTATCGGGAAGTCATCCAGGAAGACCTCCACCTTCTCTGGTACGAACTCCTTGAGGACCGCGATCATGGCCCTTTGGAATACCGCTACCCCATTCGCCCAACCCATTGGTACAACCATCATTTGCCCTAAAGGCATATGCATGGCGGTCATGTGCCTGTCCCGATAATCTAAGGGAATCTTCTCATACCCTGAGAAGAGATCGCAGATAGACTAAAGGCGTATGCATGGCGGTCATGTGCCTGTCCCGGTAATCTAAGGGAATGTCGTCATACCCTGAGAAGAGATCGCAAATAGAGTATATTGAACGACCTGCCGATCCTTCCGCTAGCAAGTCGGCCTCAGGTATAGACCCCACGTCTCTTACAGGACTGCATTGGTCCTTTGGAGGTTCAGTTTGTTGCTACCCCCCTTCCTCAGAAAGAACCACTTATTGGAGTAGGCACTTTCGCAAGGTTCCGCGACGAGCGTCCTGATCTTTTCCTTGATGAAGACCACTATCTGCTCTTTCTCCTTTTGAGCGTACTTCCACTGAGGCCTATCCTTCCAAGGCACGTGCGAGACCRTGTGGATCCRGGCCGGCTTAGCGTACCTTGGGTCGATCCTCCCTCTCTCCGAGTCATCAAAGGCAATGGCCTTATCRCACCCCCTTAGGGTCATTGCTACGAACCCCTTCTCTTCCTCCGTGAGGTTCCCATCTCCTACATCCATTTTGGCCAATATATCGGCCGTTATCCTTTGCCCTTCCGTCTCTTTCCTCTTCCGGATGATATCGGCTATCACTTCTTCCGATATTGTAGCTTCCCCCGTTCTATCCCGGCTGACCGCCGCAAGTTTCACTTTTTCTGCCACGGTTTTATGTTTCTTGACTCCGCCGGCTAGGGGGATTCCTCCAAAAAAGACATGCTCACACATCCACCGAATTCCTCCTCCTCGCCCTCCTTCTCGTACCCCATACCGTTAATCACAATTTTATCCCCTACATCCTCGACCTCCAATTGGTCTCCCTTGGGTCCCCTATCCGTCAGAGGTACCTCCTCCAGACGGACTCTGCACACCCTCGACTGACTCCCCTTGCGTCTAGCAATGCTGGTCCAGTTACGCTCATCTTGCGCGTCTACGGTCTTTAGGACCACTCGGATTCCATCGGGACTTTGGATCGAAAGAGTCTGACTTCCATCCGGTAAATCAACCGTGGTAGCGTGAACCGCGCTCATCCAGGTCCTTCCGAGGATCAACTCGGAGGAGCATTTTTTTACCGAAAAGAATGGGACCGTCGCCTCTACGCCAGCGACCTCAATCACGGGGCTATAATACACCCCTTCCACCGGTCGCAGCTTGTTATCGGCCACCACCATTGACATTGATACCCCTCGATCTATCTCCAAGCCCAGATCCCGCGCGATAGAGTCCCTACAAACCGTAGACTCGGACCCGTTGTCTACTAGAGCCCTCATCTTCTTCCCACTTACTACTGCCTGGAGTTGGCCGCTACCTAACACATAGAATTTCTTGGCCTCTTCTCCCGAGAAGAAGTTGGCAGGTAGCTTGTCCATGGTAATGCGGGAGACATGTACTTCTTCCTTGGCTGGACCTTCCACCGACACGGTGGGCCCTCCTGCGAGTGGGACTCTTACCTTCCTCGTGATGCTTAGGAGCTCTTCCCTGACGCTTTTGTTGGCGGCTAGATATTCCAAAAGTGTGCACTGCATAGGCTGCATCAGAGTCCTCCTAAGGGGGGCTACCGTGTCTAACTCATCCAGAGTGCACGTCATTTCGAACTTTTTGGGCCCCCTCTTTTTAGGCGATATGGGTGAGGTGGGCTCTTCCTTCTTTTCCTCTACCGCTTTTGCATCGGTCATTGGTTGGTCTTTGTCGCCGCTCCTTACTTCCGTACCTTCCGTCACGCTCGCTTGGCTCTCGGACGTCTCGGTCCCAACCTGCGTTCTCACCCTTAGGCAAGGCCTCTCTTCCTCGGGCTGGGTTTCTATGAACTTGATGCTTGACACCTGGGGTTCCCTAATGGACACCCCCCCCGTTGACTCCGTCATTTGGATATGAGCTGTGTTGGAGGAGCTCCCGATTTCCGGTTTCTTCCCCAGCCTAGCCCCATGGAGGGCCATCCTCTTGTCCACGTTCACCTTCATTGATAGGTAAAAGGAGACCGCCTCTCCGCTATCTCCCCACACAACCCACTTGTTCTCATTCAACTTGACCACCCCCAACCTTAAGGCCTCCGTGAGATAAGGGCAGTCCCTTTTGATGTGATTCTCCTCATTGCAGTAGACACACCCGCTTCGAGCTTGTGGGTTGTTGGGACGCGGACCCCCTTGTGTSGCCGCCGCTATAGGCGCAGGCGGAGCCGGTGGTGGTGGTGGTGGCGCCCTAACCTCCCGTCGCGGGCCAGAAGCCCTCGCTTGAGGGGCGTCTCCCCACCTTCAATCCCTAGCATCCTTCCAATGGGAACTCCCCCAATCGGAACCACGATTCCCCCCTATCTCCCGGTCGTTCCTCCAACCTCCTTGGCCACTCGATTCGTTCCTCCATCCAGTCGGTCGTTCTCCCCACCGGGGACCAGGTGGACCCGGGGGCGGTCTATCGTTTCCCCTTGGACCATCACACGCATCGCACCGCCTGCCTCGCATGTTGCGAAGTGCCATGTCCAAGGTCTCTTTCATGTATTCCCTCACATCTACTCCTCCCCCTGTGAAAACCACCTCTGCGACTTTCTTGAAATTGACAGAATCCCTTGGGGCCTTCTCAAGGACCTCTTTCCTCTTTTCCTCAGGTAGGTGCAGCATAAACATCACGCACCTATCTACTTCAGACAGCATCCCCCTATCCACTAGGGCTTGGGACAGGCGCTTGAACCTACGGGTGAAGGCTACCAAGCTCTCCCGTTCCCCCCTTGTAATTCGTCGCAAGCCCTCCACGGTCGGGATCAGGTCATCACAGGCGAAAGTCTGCAATAGGCTCGCTCTGAAGGTCCTCCACCGTCCGTCTGAGGGGTAGATAGCCCGAATCGCGAGGTCTAACTCGGGGTCGAAGTGCTGGATAAAATAGTCGATCCACTCTCTTTCGGAGAATCTTTTACGGTAAGCATAACTTTCCCATTTCTCCACGAACCCAGTCACATCCCGTCCGTCGAAGAAAAGTGCCTCCAGACCCAAGTTGACGTCGTAGTAGGGGACTCGTCGATCGTCGTATCGGCAAAAATAGGGACCTTCCATTGGTCCATCGATTGTCGGGTCGTACGGCTTGTACCATGAGGGATCCGGCTCCTCTACCCGGCCCCGGGGTCTTGGCGGCTCCCAGGGGTCTTCCCCGAAGCGCCCCCGCTCATTCGGCCAATCCGTCTCCCACCGAGCGTGGTCCTGCCCCCTAAAGCTTCTCCAGGCCTCCACCCCCTTACTCCTGCCCATTATCTCTCCGGGAGCCCAGGCAGCATCCGCTTCTCTCACGGCCCATCTTCGTGGCCTACTACCAGCCTCTGTCGTCCTCTCGTCTCTAAGGTCCCTTCTACTCGGTCCCCCTTCCTCTTCTCTCCTGGGTGGCCGGTACCCCACCCTATCTCTTGGAAATTCTAGAGCTTCTCCCATTCTTGCGTCCGGTAAATCTGCCCACCGAGCCTCTATAGGAAGGCCCCTCGAGCCCTCGATCGCCACTTCTTGCGCAGACATTCTTATGTCCTCGCCAGTTCTAGGCCCTACTAAGGCCTGCCTCTCACCGGCGACGGCCTCCGGGACCCTTTCGACCCATCTCCGCGGTCTGCCGCCGGCTTCAGCTGACCTCCCTTCTCTTAAGTCCCTCCTGTCCTGACACTCCTCTTCCTCCCTCCTAAGTGGTCGATACCCCTTTCTATCTCTAGGAAATTCCCGCGCTTCCTTTAACCTTGCTTCCGCATCCATTAGATCTGCCCACCGGGATTCCACCGGAACGCCTCTTGCGGCTTCCGTGACCCCTTCGTTTACCGGCACCCGCGGCCCCACATCCCTATGCACTCGCACTTCCGTGCTAGCTCTTAGCCCCTCCGAGGCCTGTCTTTCTCCCGAAGCCATTTCCGGACCCCCCTCGGCCCTATCTAGTGTCTTTGTTCCCTCCGTCATTTCTTCCACTACCCTACTTAGACTGGCCCCTAACTCGGGACTCTTCACTACCCCCCTTCTTTTAGTGGTTTCCGGCGGACTAGAGAGACCAGCCTCTACTTCACTCTCCATGCACCCTTATTGGCAATTTCTAGTCGCCTCCCTCACTATCGTCCCCGTTACCTTCCGGCTCGTCCCCCTCACTACAATCTGCGTTATCTTCCGAGTTCTCTTCTTCCTCCGATCCTTCCTTCTCTTCACTAGAATCCTCGTCAGCACTCTCTCCCTCCGACTCCTCCCTGGTCACCGTCCACCAAGAATCCCTCAGTTTCTTCTCCTCGCTAGCAGCCAATGCAAGATTCGCGATCTCCAGGTCCGAGATGCCCCTAATCCCTTCTTGCGCACACCTCCTAATCAAATCCCTGTCCACATCACCAGCTTGTCCGGAGAATAGGGGCTTCATGAATTCTCCAACGCGCGCCCACCACTCGAAGTCGGTGTCCTCTCTTGACTCCCAGCACTGGGTGAATAGCTCGTCCCCTCCTCCTTCACCCAGTGGGAATTTTTCTATCACTTGACCCCTCAATCGGACTCTCCTCACGGTCTCGTCGTCAGCATAGAGTAGTCGATAGGCCCAGGTAGGGATATTCAAAATTCTCCCATGGGCTGCCCTTGGGACTTCCGTCCTCCCTCGGTACTCTACCCTATCAATCATGGGGCCTCCGGTGCCACCCCCTCTCAATCTCCTCACTCGTTCTAAGGCCCTTTTGGCGATGCCTAGAGGATCTTTTCCTTCCGCTAATTCAGTTGCGAAGATTAGCCGAGCGTCAGGGGACAAAAAAATTTCCGCGTTTCTCGTGCAACTGTTCCCCTCGGACGCCACTGAGAACCTGATCACTGTCTCCTGCTCGTAAATTTCGAAGAACTTAGTAGTCACCTCTCCTTCCCCTCTAACTCTCGGGAGAGTCGCTCCATATCTGCCTCCCCACGTCCAAGCCCTATCAAAGGTACCGTAAGGGTCCCCCCTTTCGTATCTAATCATAGGAGCCTCACCACATGCCTGCCAACCTTGCGGCGGCCTCGACCAACGAGTCCTCGCACTTAGCACGATCGGTCCCTTCGTCCCCTCGCACGGTTTGGCGCAAAGCCTCCTCGTACTCTTCCGTTCTATCCCACAATCGGGTCTCCACAGACGTCAGCGGCGTTCCTAGATACCTAGAGTCCTCCTCGAATCTTCTTTCTACTTCCAACAAATGCTCCCTCCAAGCCCTCGAGAACCTCACGCCACTCACACCTCTAATTTGGACTGAAAAGGTAGCTAGCGTGGTCCAACTTCTTCTTTTCCACAAGGCCAGCCGTCGGACCTCCACTAGAAATTCTGTCTCGGCGCGGATTACCCGGCCCTCTCCCAATTTCGGGTTAAGCTCTGCACTCCGTTCAATCCTAACTTCGCTACCGTCCTCGTAGGTCTCTAATTCCCAACGGGTCCTATTGGAGACAAACGAAGCTCTCATCCCCTCACTGCGTGAGAAGATCTATCGTTACCTCGTCTAGGATAGCGATTGCAGCTATCTCAAGTAGCTTGATCCCGGCAAAGGACCCAGGCCTAGCCCTCCTTTCTTCCTCCTTGCACAGAGCGAGGATCCGGTGAACTTCTTCCCTCACTCTATCCAACCCCACAAGTTCCTCAAGGTCCGGCTCGGTCATCCCCTAACTTCCGTCGACGACACGCAATTGCTATCCGAATCAAGTCTGGGGGGTCCAATCCCGCTAGCTCTCCCTCACAAATCTTACCCAAGTATCTCCACGATATCTTAGACTCTCTCGCGTGTCGACCCCACCCTTCAAAGGTGTAACCCAGGTCCTCTAGAGTCGACCAATCGTCTCTATAGGGATCCCGAAAACACCAAGTTAACAAGGTGTGGAGGTCCGATCCCGTGAACCTGAACTGACTTAGGATGGAAACCCTTCTTTCTACCGCCCCGTTTACAGCCTCGGAGGGGTAAACCCGCTCAAAAATGAAACGGGGGACCTCCACCGGCTCGTTGCAGATGAACCGCGGTATTTCCTCCTAAACCCCGTAGGTTACTAGATATTCCTCGTCGCACCCTTCGTGAGGCCTCACGGCTCGAGCGTCCCAAAGAGGGTCCTGCCCAATCCGTAAGCTACGCGCTATCTCAACAAGGCCCTCCTTCGAGAGGAATATTCGAGCTTCTCCAACTACGGCTCTCCCCTCGCGACTCACCGCAAATCGTATGAAAGCCTTACCGCGCCAGATCTCCCCTTCTTCTCGCAGAGAAGTCCTAGTTGGCTCAGTCAATCGGGCCCTAGGCAGAGTGACACTAACAACATCCCCGGTATCCTTTACGGGCTCTATGGATGCCCAGAGAGTTCTCGGGATCCCCCTTATCATCGGCCCTTGAAACCCCGCCGGTTAGACACCTGCTCTTCCCCGAAGAGACGGGTGTACAGAACGTCCGTGGCGAGGGATCGGAGTCCCTCAAACTCTCTCAACCTCCCGAATATGGTGGACAGCTCACTCCTTGGGGGAACTCCCGCGTCCACGCATCGAGCATAAAGCCAGAACAAACCCCTAGCCCGCACCCCAGACTCCTGAGCCGCCCTAAGCACCCTCACTACCCGCTCCTCCGGGTCCCTCAAAAACGAATTCGACAGGAACTTGGGCAAGTTCCCGTGAAGTACTCCCGACGCACGCAGGACCTCCCCGGGCTCAGCGAAGGACACTAGGGACCAAGACTCGAAGGTCCCTTCCTCGTAGTCACTCAACACTAGGTTGTTAACCGCTAGCCTCGTAGATTCTCGGTACTCAAAATGTATTAGCTGCCCGGTTACCAAACCTCTCCAAACCTCGGTCCACGCCTCTTCGTTGAGGAAGATCGTAGCCCGAACCTCTAAGAATCGGCCAAGGTCAGGCGGGCCGCCTCTCTCTACCCCTTCCTTCCAGGTAAAACGACGAGCTCTAACCCACACGTATGCCCCTTCCTTGAAGACCTCCCCCTTCTCCACGCTCATCCAATAAGGAGTCACCCTGGGGTCCCCTGGGACTAAAACCTTCTCGGCGTCACTGGCCTCTATCGATTCTACCACCCCGTTTTTACTGAGCACCAACTTCACCATCTGCTATCATCGTTCTAAAGACCCACTTGCGATATTTTTCAGGAGAGAGAGTGAAGGGCTTTTCTAGAGACCCTAGTTTCCGGAAAATACCCCAGAGTTTCCTGCGCGACAGAATACCCTGATCGATGCAGTGCGTATACAGTATCCACAGGGCCCTGAAGGTTAGCCCCAAACTCCTACCCCTCTCTAGAAGACACACTATCCTTTCCTCGTTTGCTCTAGGGCACAGGAAAGACGGCACCCTCACAGTTAACGGGTAACTTGACCTCGGAAGCTCTCTTTCCCTCGCGAACCTCTCCCTTTCCACGGACACGAATGCAAATCGCTCTCTAACCCTACTTATCCACTCCCTTCTCACTTCTCTCGCTTCACGCAACAATTTTTCCAGCCCACCCCCTTGTCCCAGAATTAGGGGTACCACAAGCTTCGCCCAAGCTTCCACTGCTACGAAAATAACCGCGGTTACTTCAAGATTTCGCCCAAGACCTTGGCCTTCTACTTCTTTGGATTCTACCCACACGAATTCCCCACTAACCGTGGACCTCCCCCCCTTCTATCCTCTCCCAATCAGGGACTTTCCCGTTGCTAGGGACCAGCCTAAGGGCCTCACGGTCCTCTAAAGAGGACTCTAAGAAGCATCCCTGCTCTCTATCATGGAACACCATTCATTTAGAACATTCTCTGTGGTACCCCGAAGACTCTTTGGTATCCGTAGTCCCTTCCTCCCTCGCAGTCCCGGGTAGACTCCCTAAAGATCCCCGCGCGAATCCTACATGCCTTGATCCCGTATGGTACAGGGTTATCTACGCAATAGGTGTAGTACCAATGGAGCGACCTAACGGAGAGCTGCCACCCCCTCTCTCGCACTATATGGACCGCACAACCCTCTCGTACCGCTCCTCCTTCCCGCTCACCCTTCGAAAAAAGAATGACGGGAATATGGCTCTGATGCACCCTGTGGCGTGGGGGTACTCGTCTCGTGCGCAGGTCACCCTTACCTCAACGGGTGGGCAGTGTCTAAGAGGCTCCGCCTAAAAAATCTGCCTCAAAATCGGACCCGCTCGTGCCTCCCAATGATCCGTACGGTACCAACCCAGGACCAAGTGAGTGACGTAATTGACCCAGGCCTCCATACTCAAATAGACAGTTCCTTCCGCCCGGATTACCGTTCGCCTGGGTCTCTTCTGGTTTTGGGGCCTATTTCGGGACCACCTATCCCCTTCCCAAGTTCCTACCGTGAAACGAGCCCAAAGAAAAACCCCTCGTTCTAGCTCTAATCCCCTCTCGCGGTCGGCTAGATACCTCTCCGTGCGGTGGTCTAAGGGGACGCTGAAGCACTCCCTGTCTTTGCTTAAATCCGCCTTCTCTATCCGAATCCCTTCTTCCTCAGTACCCTCTATGATCCTAACCATCCCCTTGGACTATCTCCTCTATGATTTGAACTAGCGCTCTCCACTCGTCCGACCCGTCCAGGAAGGCGTCCGGAATAGTGGGAACAGGCCTACCCCCTCGTGAATACTTCCTACACCCCAACGAGTAGAAGTAGTTAATCTCGTAAGCCCCCTGTGCGTGACCGACCGCTTCCTCCCAGCTATCCAAATATCCTACCTCACTATCAACACCCTCTTCTACGTACAAGGCTATGTCGAAGTGGCCGGTCCACCAGTAGAAGGTATAGCACCACACGTTTACCCCGCCTCGATCACCTACGCTAATTCCTGCGGGTTCAAACTCCAAAGGCCTCAAGCTCATGGATTCGCCGCTCTCACCACTCTCTCCACGATCCCTACTAGCACTTTCCATTCATCCGACCCATCGAGATAAGCGTCCGGAATTACCGGCGTCGGGCGACCACCTCTGGGGTAGGTTCGGTATCCTAGAGAGTAAAAATACTTATACCCATAACCCCTCAATTCCTCCCGCGAACCGCGGGAGTGGCCTATCGCCTCTTCCCACCCACGAAGGAAGTCCTCTCCTTGATCTTGTCCCTCCTCTACATAGACACCCACATCAAAGTCAACCGTCCATAGTCGAAAGGAGTAGCACCACACGTCAACACTTTCGTACGTACACACACTAATCCATTCCGGAACGGCTTCTAAGCTCATGCAATATAATCAAAAGAAAATTCTCCCTAAGTCCCTATTTCCTTTTGGCCACTCGAGAGACCACCTCTATCCCGCAAGGAGAAGAAGCCTGTGAGCTCAGAAGGATCAAATGGACCAGAGAAGGAACGCCGTCTCACTCGGCTACCTTCCTGTCCTCCCCTGCCACTCCCGGCCTAGAGACTAGCCGCGGACACAGGTTATCCCCGAGGAAGGGTGGCAACCCCCTCCCCGGAGTCGGACCGAAGTCACACACCCGGGTCCTATGTCCCCCACTGAACCAACCTCTAGTCCTAAGTTAGCCTATCCGGTACCACGCCTCTACTCGSCCCACCTCAARSSKGRAWTWMCYSRGTCCCWGGACARGATCCACCTATTTATCAGAAATCACTAGCCTATCTACTCCCTCCCCATTCTCCTCATCGTGAACTCTTCGCACTTCGTTCCCTTCTTCCTTTTCCGTCTCCCGCTGCCTCTTTTCTCTTTTGGAATCACTGGAAAATTGGGAAGTCAGAAAAAATGGGGTGGGAAGAGCGGAGCTTTAGGAAGAGGCTCTCAGGTTGGGTTGATAAGTAAGCGTACCTTGAGTCTTCAATATTTGTTATCATAGTCCCAATAGTCCCCCAGATCCGAGTCCGAGAAATCGGCTAGACACCGGTCCACCCAGGATTCGGCCTTCGATCCCTCGTCCAAGGGCCCCCAAGTACCCCCTTCTTCTCTAACGCCCTCGCTAAGATGGGTAGGTGCGTCTCTCTCTCCCCCTCGCCCCGGTACCCGCGACACCACTCTCCTCTTCCGCAAGTCCCGAACCAGTTCCGTTTGAGAGTCCCGCTCCCTTGCGGTAGTTGGAATCGTCGTCAGCCCTCGCGGGTCGAGAACCGAAGCCCCTAACCCCTCTCTAGACACCCTCTCTCGTGCGGGACTTTGCCCCCGGGTAGGTGCCCTCCACAGCCCGTGCGGATCAAGAATACTTGGCAACCCTCTTGGGTCCCAAATAGACAGCGCCCCCAGACCCTCTCGGCCCCCTCTCTCCTCTCTTCCCCACTCCCTCTCTCGCTCTTCCCCTCGAGCAGACCCCCTCACACTATTTCCCCGGACTGTTCTTCTTCCTGCCCTTTCGTTGTTCTTCACCCTCATTCAGCCCCCTCAAGCAACCTGTGCACCCCCTTAATTTTTAAATTTTCAAAAACAAACACGCGCGAAAATCAAGCACACAAAATGGGACTGACCTGTTTTACCCTTCGAAGGCTTGAAGTGGGAGCCGAGACCGCAAGCGGGCCGGAGCGGACCTGCAAAAGCCAAGGAGACGAGCCCGACACCCAAAAAACCCTCACACCCGACAACCCCAACAGCAAACCCCTCCCCAATAAACCCCTCGCCGATGCCGCTCGAGAAGAACCATGACTACCGTGGAGAATCCGCTGGAGACTACCTTGAAGACGCGTGTCGAAGGTCTCGATGCTGAAAAAATGCAGAATACCTCAAACTCACCCTACCGCTGCCTGTCACACCGGTCCTCCCTTACCCCGTAGCTGCTGAGCCGGCCGCGGCCGCGGGAGAAAGGCTCATCCCTGGCAACGGCGCCACTTTTTCGTGGTGTTTGGCCAGCCTATGTCCCCGATACCCGATACCAAGGCCTTTTGTGGTCCGGCAATGGCTCCACTACCTCCACCACCGATCGTATCAGCCCAGCGCTCACTTGGGGACCCTAGAGCCCCCCCCCCTCGGTCACACCCGCTTCCCCCCCGTCGTCGTAACCCAGGCCCACTGCCCCGCCCAATCCGACGTGAACCTCTGGTTGACTCGCTCGTGTTGTCTCTCGGAGATCCTCCCCCTGCTGCTATTTCGGACGGTTGGAGCCCGCAGCCTGAAGGGCCGCTGAAAGTCCCTGTGCCAGCCGGCTCCTTGGACGCGCCTGGTCCTACTCTCGCAGTCTGAGTCTTAAGGCCGCGGGGAGAGACAACCCAAAGCAGGGGCGCACGATCCCGTGGCCCTCCCTGACTACAACGGGGTTTTCTCAACGCTCGTGTTCGAAGGAAGATCAGCCGAGGACGAGAACAACTTAAAGATGGGCGAAAAGAAAAAAAGGGGTGGAGAAAAACCTGGACCGACTCGCCTATCGTGGAAGCGAACTGTACCAAAAACCCGCTTTCGAAACTTCGATCAAACCGCTCCCAGGACTTGAGCAGCTCGACAGGTGTACCCAGATCACGAACACCTTGACTTGCTTTCAGATTGCCCACCCCTCAGCTCGTTCTGGAAGCGGTTTGATCGAAGTCAAGGTGCGATGGTCCAAGTCGAAACGGTAGACCGCCCCCAGGTCCACCTGGTCCCCAGTGGGGAAAACGACCGATCGGATGGAGGAACGAATCGAGTGGCCAAGGAGGTTGGAGGAACGACCGGGAGATAGGGGGGAATCGTGGTTCAGATTGGGGAAGTTCCCATTGGAAGGATGCTAGGGATGGAAGGTGGGGAGACGCCCCTCAAGCGAGGGCTTCTGGCCCGCGACGGGAGGTTAGGGCGCCACCACCACCACCACCGGCTCCGCCTGCGCCTATAGCGGCGGCCACACAAGGGGGTCCGCGTCCCAACAACCCACAAGCTCGAAGCGGGTGTGTCTACTGCAATGAGGAGAATCACATCAAAAGGGACTKCCCTTATCTCACGGAGGCCTTAAGGTTGGGGKTGGTCAAGYTGAATGAGAACAAGTGGGTTGTRTGGGGAGATAGCGGAGAGGCRGTCTCCTTTTACCTATCAATGAAGGTGAACGTGGACAAGAGGATGGCCCTCCAKGRGGCTAGGCTGGGGAAGAAACCGGAAATCRGGAGYTCCTCCAACACAGCTCATATCCAAATGACGGAGTCACCGGGGGGGGTGTCCATTAGGGAACCCCAGGTGTCAAGCATCAAGTTCATAGAAACCCAGCCCGAGGAAGAGAGGCCTTGCCTAAGGGTGAGAACGCAGGTTGGGACCGAGACGTCCGAGAGCCAAGCGAGCGTGACGGAAGGTACGGAAGTAAGGAGCGGCGACAAWGACCAACCAATGRCCRATGCAAAAGCGGTAGAGGAAAAGAAGGAAGAGCCCACCTCACCCAAATCGCCTAAAAAGAGGGGGCCCAAAAAGTTCGAAATGAMGTGCACTCTGGATGAGWTAGACACGGTAGCCCCCYTTAGGAGGACYCTGATGCAGCCTATGCAGTGCACACTTTTGGAATATCTAGCYGCCARCAAAAGCGWCAGGGAAGAGCTCCTAAGCATCACGAGGAAGGTAAGAGTCCCACTCGCAGGAGGGCCCACCGTGCCGGTGGAAGGTCCAGCCAAGGAAGAAGTACAKGYCTCCCGCATTACCATGGASRAGCTACCTGCCAACTTCTTCTCGGGAGAAGAGGCCAAGAAATTCTATGTGTTAGGTAGCGGCTAGCTCCAGGCAGTAGTAAGTGGGAAGAAGATGAGGGCTCTAGTAAACAACGGGTCCGAGTCTACGGTTTGTAGGGACTCTATCGCACGGGAGTTGGGCTTGGAGATAGATCGAGGGGTATCAATGTCAATGGTGGTGGCYGATAACAAGCTGCRACCGGYGRAAGGGGTGTRTYATAGCCCCGTGATTGAGSTCGCTGGCGTAGAGGCSACGGTCCCAWTCTTTTCRGTAAAAAARTGCTCCTCCGAGTTGATCCTCGGAAGGACCTGGCYGAGCGCGGTTCACGCTACCACGGTTGAYTTACCGGATGRAAGTCAGACTCTTTCGATCCAAAGTCCGGATGSAATCCGAGTGGTCCTAAAGACYGTAGACRCGCAAGATGAGCGTAACYGGACCAGCATTGCTAGACGCAAGGGSAGYMAGTCGAGGGTGTGCAGAGTCCGTCTGGAGGAGGTACCTTTGACGGATAGGGGACCCAAGGGAGACCAATTGGAGGTCGAGGATGTAGGGGATAGAATTGTGATTAACGGTATGGGGTACGAGAAGGAGGACGAGGAGGAGGAATTCGGTGGATGTGTGAGCATGTCTTTTTTGGAGGAATCCCCCTAGCCGGCGGAGTCAAGAAACATAAAACCGTGGCAGAAAAAGTGAAACTTGCGGCGGTCAGCCGGGATAGAACGCAGGAAGCTACAATATCGGAAGAAGTGATAGCCGATATCATCCGGAAGAGGAAAGAGACAGAAGGGCAAAGGATAACGGCCGATACATTGGCCAAAATGGATGTAGGAGATGGGAACCTCACGGAGGAAGAGAAGGGGTTCGTAGCAATGACCCTAAGGGGGTGCGATAAGGCCATTGCCTTTGATGACTCGGAGAGAGGGAGGATCGACCCAAGGTACGCTAAGCCGGCCTGGATCCACACGGTCTCGCACGTGCCTTGGAAGGATAGGCCTCAGTGGAAGTACGCTCAAAAGGAGAAAGAGCAGATAGTGGTCTTCATCAAGGAAAAGATCAGGACGTTCGTCGCGGAACCTTGCGAAAGTGCCTACTCCAATAAGTGGTTCTTTCTGAGGAAGGGGGGTAGCAACAAACTGAGATGGATTCAAGACCTCCAAAGGACCCATGCAGTCACCGTAAGAGACGTGGGGTCTATACCTGAGGCCGACTTGCTAGCGGAAGGATCGGCAGGTCGTTCAATATACTCTATCTGCGATCTCTTCTCAGGGTATGATGAGATTCCCTTAGATTACCGGGACAGGCACATGACCGCCATGCATACGCCTTTAGGGCTGGTTCAAATGATGGTGGTACCAATGGGTTGGACGAATGGGGTAGCGGTATTCCAAAGGGCCATGATCGTGGTCCTCAAGGAGTTCATACCAGAGAAGGTGGAGGTCTTCCTGGATGATTTCCCGATAAAAGGACCGGTCGAACTGGATGAGACGGAGGTCTTTCCGGGGGTGAGAAAATTTGTGGCCGACCACATGAGTGGCATCAGAAGCGTCCTTGAGAAGCTAGATGATGCCAACCTCACGGTCAGCGGAACTAAGAGTCGTTGGGGAGTGTCCTCCATCAAGATACTGGAGTTCATTTGCGATAAGGATGGGCGAAGGCCCGACCTCGAAAAATTAGTAAAATTGATGACCTGGCCGTCACCGCTCAAGTCCATAACGGAAGTCCGACAGTTTCTGGGGGTAGTGGGCTACTGGAGAATCTTCATAAAAGCCTATGGAGAGAAAGCGGAACCCCTTAGAAGACTCCTTAGGAAATCAGAAGGATGGGTTTGGGGGGAAGCACAGGAAGCGGCCATGGAAGCTTTGAAGGGGGAATTCCGCGAAGGTGGAGAGGTCCTAGGAGTTCCGTTCTTCGAAGACGAGGAGAGTCGCCCGTTCATAGTGTCCACGGACGCTGGACCTCATTCGGTGGGAGGCCTCATGTCACAAAAGGACGGAGAGGGGAAAGAGAGACCGTTGCGATTCGAAAGCCGGACCTTGAACCCCGCAGAGAGAAATTATAGCCAATTCAAAAAGGAGGTGTTAGGGGTCCTGCATTGCCTAAAGGCCTTCCGTCATTACCTATACGGGCGACATTTTCTCCTGCGAGTGGACCCAACTACAGTGGCGGCGGTTCTTCAAAAGGATTTCTCGCTGACCGATCCGATCATTGTCTAATGGATGATACACATTAGGCTTTACGACTATAGGTTCGAGAGGATATCAGGGACCAAGAACCAGGTCGCGAACGGATTGTCCCGGTTTCCCATTCGTGAGGAGGACCTACCTAGGCTTAAGGAGGAAGAAGTGACAATGGCCAAAGAAAAGATAATGAAAGTCGCCGCCAATAGGGCACAAATGGCGGGAAGCAGCCGAGGAGAAGAAGGGGGCCCAAGGACTTTTCTCGCAAATCTCTGCGACGGAAAGTACCGAGATATAGGGTTGTTCTTAGCCGGTAGGGAAACAGGGACCGAAAGAATCCGGCAAGAGGCACTGGGGTATTGCCTGCGGGAGGCCATCTCTTCAAGAGGCGCACCAAGTTTGCGATACCCATGAGGGTACTGTGCGATCCTGAGGAAAGAAGGGCGGTCATAGAGGAACTCCACAACGGGGTCGTTGGGGGTCATAGGGGGGTGAAGGGTACTTTCGATAAGGTCCGTAGGCTTTATTGGTGGGGCGGGCAATACACGGAAGTGGAAAAGTATTGTTCAACACGTGAAGCTTGCCAGAAAAGAGCAACAGTTCGATACAAAGAGCCCTTAGTCCCATTGCTTCTCACGGTTCCGGGTGAGAAGGTCCACGTGGATTTGGGAACCATGCCAAAAGGGGTCGGCGGACTTCGATACATAATCAACGCCCGCGGCGATCTCAGCGGGTTTGTGGAAGCTAAGGCCATTAAAAAGAAAACGGCCGAAGAGGTGAGTGATTTTCTCCTAGAGTATGTCGCGCGGTACGGGTGTGTCGGGAAAATAGTTATGGATAGGGGGGCGAAATTCTTGAGCCAGAAGGTCAAGGTATTACTGGAAAAGGCAGGGATCGGGGCGGCCCATACAATCGCTTATCACCCCCAAAGCAATGCACCGGTAGAAAGGGGCCACCAGACGCTTGTGGACGCTCTAGCGAAATGGTGCAAAGGCCGCACAGAACAGTGGTCGAGGTATTTACGGTACGCTGTTTGGGCCGATAACATCACGGTCAAATCCAGCACAGGGTACCCCCCTTACACCCTTTGGTTCGGTCGGCATTGTCCCCTACCCATCGAGTTCCACGTCGACACTTGGACGAGTGTCTCATGGAAAACCAACATGACCCGGATTGAACTATTGGAGGCATTGATCCAACAAATAGCTGAGAATTTGGATACCGAGGTAACCAAGGCGGGAGAGAACATCGAGAGAGAAATGGTGAAAGGAAAAGATAGGTGGGACAAAAATCTGCGGGTCCGAAAGGCGCCGATACGGGTTAACGACCTAGTGCTGATGTATGATTCGTCACTAGAAAAGACCTGGAGCCGGAAATTGGCGAACCAATGGATGGGACCGTATAAGGTCCTAAAGAGGTTGGATGGGGGGGCTTACATGCTCGCGGAATTAGATGGGAGTAGGCTACGGGATCCTGTCGTAGGGGCTCGTCTCAAAATCTTCCGATCACGAGAGACCCTTGGGGAAGAGCCGGGGCGGAAAGGAAAAGAAGCTATTGGCACAGAGGTGAGCGTAACCCACGAAAAAGGGTAGACCTCCAAACAAGGAGCCTCTTCTCGACCCCCAAAGAAAGGGTATAAGGTTCGGAAAACGGCCCTACCAAACACCCCTAGGAAGAAGAAACGACCGAGGGAGGATGACGGAGATACTGACCGATTGAGGAAACGCAGGATGAACGAAAGAAGGAATGCGTCAAGAAAGAGCCCTGAGACTCAAACGTGAGAGAAAGGAGAGAAAACGGAAGAGAGAGAGACGTGAGAAGAGGATGAGGAGACGGAGACGGGAGTAAAAAGGGGGAGGAGAATAGTGTGTCATAGTTAGAAAAACGTGGTCCGGGAAAAGTGATATGTCGAAGGGAAATTTGTACCATAATATACCATAGTTAGACATCGGGTGTCATGAGGGGCAATGAGCCGTAATCCCAAGTAGGTATTGTACCATAGACCGGTGTCATAGGGTAGGAATGTGTCGGGGGTCATGGATAGCGTCGTGACAAGACAAAGGGGGTAAGTCTGGTAATCTAACCAAGAAAATGGTGTGAAACGGGAGGAAAATTTCATGGGTAAACATTTGGCGAGGGGCGATGGTTAGAAAGGGAGGGGTCGTGAAAGAGACTCGCCGGGGACGGTGAGAAATGGGGTGTGGGCTGGTTGTCGGGCGGCTGCCTACCAGCCGAAGGCTTTTCTCTTTAAAAAAAAGAAACGATTTTTTCCTTTTTTTGCTGTTCTTGCGTGGTTTTGACGTACGCATGCATGTGGATGTGGTGGCTAAGGATGTGCTCGAGCGTCCGGGTCTTCGTACTAACCCTTCGGTTGGCTGGAGTGGCTGTCCGAACCTTGGTCGCAAGCGCGAGGGCGCGGATCCCAAAAATCGGGTTTTCAGGGCTAAAACCGGAGAACTGAGGGATGGTGGCCAGCCTAGGGATGGGCTATCAAAAATTCGGAAGGAGGGGACCTAAGGGAGGCAGAGGTGGACTACAATGGGCGACATGTAATACTATGGCCGGGGATGACGAAGGCTGGTTATGCGCGGCCGGAGGACTGCGGTTAAAGGAAGGAGGTGCCGAGCGCGACTGTCTGCGGCGAGCTACAGAAGCACCGAGGAGAGGCGAGCTAGCCAGCGGCAAGGAACTGAGCCCAAGGGGGGGGGGAACTGCCTCGCCTGTCGGCTGATCCCAGAGGGGCCGAGGAAAGATCGCAAGCGGACTCGAGTGGATTCAGAGTTTYGATGGCGGATCGAGAGAGCAAGGGTTGAAGGCAGACTTTGAACGGACCCGGAAATACTCGAAAATGAGAGAACTTAGGAAAGAACAAGGAAACTGGTAAAAACCCAGGTTTTGACTTTGAGCGACGATCGGGCCTGGCGGGTCTTGCGCGACACAACTTAACGCAGAACAGCGGGACATACGGGGTCCAAAGAAATTCGTCGCGAGCTTGGCGCAAGTGACTTGCGACGAAAGGGGAGAGTCTCGTGGGGCCAGATCTGTATGGGGATGGGGGGGGGCAGCTTGGTGAATTCTGGGGCGATGGCCACTCCTTGGAAAAGGGGGGGGACTCGGCAAAAAGGAGCTGTAACAGCGACCAGACGGGACCCACCATATGACAGCTTTGAGAAGAAGAGCCGACGCGAGGGCCAGACGGCCATGCTAGATGGGACTATCAAGACCGATCTGCGCCTCGCTTTACAAAGAGGGGGCTACCTGCAGTTGGCTAGTGAACAGACGAGCAGCGCCGAAGTGAGTGTGGGCGAGAAGAAGAGGTATGGGGCAAGCCGAGAGCAAAGGCCTGACTGGTCCGGAAAAATGAGAGGGAGGATCGACAGGAAAAGGGGGCAAGTGAAAATCTCCTTCAAAAGAGTTTTCCGTTTACAGTTGAGATCCGGTGCGCGCGCGCTAAAACAAGAAAGGCAGAACGAGCTGAGGAAAGAGGCGGGAAGAAAGGTTGGAATTGCGGGGGCGGGAATTCGCGAAAGCACTCGATACCAATCTTGGGTGCAAAGAAGGGAAAGGGGCCATTGGAGGAGAAAGGGGCATGCCTCCCGCAAAAAGAAAAGGCGGATACAGATCTCCTCCAAAAAGAATTTATGTTTACAGTTGGGATCCGATGCACGCACGCTAAAACAAGAAGGGCAGAATGAGCTGAGAAAGGAGGCAGGACGAAAGGTTACAGTCGCAGGGGCGGGAATTCGCGAAAGCACCCGACACCAATCCAGGTGGCAGTAAAGGGGAAGATGCCATTGGAGGAGAAGGGGGCGAGGGTGGATAGTGAGAGAGAGAGCAGGGGCAGAGAGAAGAAGAATAGGAGGGAGGCGGGAAATGGAAAATTCGACCAAAAATTTCGAACTTGGCTCGGCCAGTGGAAGAGGTGAAGGGAAGAGAGAAAAAAAAAAGAAAAAAAAATAGTATAAAAGGGAGGGCGACAGAGAAGAAGGCAGGAGAGCTCGAACGCGCACGGAGGGGGAGAACGCCCGGCAGGCCGACTGGCTATAGAGGATTGGGAGTACGGGGGCCCGCAAGAGAGAACGCACGCACGAGCGCACTCGCTTCCGACGACGGGCGGCGCGCACGGTTGCATCAGCTGGCTGATGCAGGAGAGACGGGAGTGTTGGCCAGGATCTCGGCGATTCTCTACAGCGCGCGTAAGCAGGAGAGAGAGAGAGAGAGAGAGAGAGAGAGAGAGAGAGAGAGAGAGAGAGAGAGAGAGAGAGGGAGAGACGGGGTGGGAGTGAGAGCGACGGCGAATGCGGCCATAGTCGGGAGGAGAGAGAGGGAGAGAGAGACGGAGTGAGAGGGGGAGCGACGGCGAATGCGGCCATAGTCGGAAAGAGAGAGAGAGGGAGAGACGGGGTGAGAGAGGGAGCGACGACGAATGCGGCCATAGCCGGAAAGAGGTAGAGAAAGAAAGGGAGAGAGAGGGAGCGACAGAGACCGCGACCATAGCCGGTAAGAGGAAGAGAGCGAGAGAGAGAGAGGTCAACTAGGAGAGGGAGAGAGAGGAGAGGATCGTCGCTCGCCACTTGCGCCGGGTACACGCCTTGCGCTCAGGGGCTCCTTTGTTTAAGCCGCTTCGTCGGCAGCTGCTTTTCTTCGAGGATTATTTCGAGTCGAGGCGTCTCTCCGCTCCTGCTCCTGCGCTCAAGCGACTGCTATTGTGGTACTTCTGTCGAGCTACCTCGCTTGAGCTGAGGTGTTACCTCATCCATTTTCGGTCAAGAAACGGGTATCGCGGTACTTCGTTCGAGCCACCTTGGCGGACTCTGGGTGTAGCTCCGCTAAAAAGAAAGCCTTCGCCCGGGCGCTTTGTTTGAATAGCCAAGTTACCCAGGATGGCCCGTGTGCTGCTACGGTAGTGCCACAGTACTCGAGCTAAGTGATATAGCGCTCGGAGAGAGTGAGAGAGAGAGAGAGAGATAGATAGATAGATAGATAGATAGATAGAGAGAGAGAGAGAGAGAGAGAGAGAGAGAGAGAGAGAGAGCGGCCATAACAGGGAGAGGGAGAGAGAGAGAGAGAGAGAGAGAAAGAGAGAGAGAGGGCGATGGGGAGAGGGAGCGAGAGGAGAGGATCGACACGCGGTGCTTGCGCTCTGTACAGGCTTTGCACTCAAGGCGCTCCCTTGTCTAAGCCGCCCCATCGGCAGCGGTTTTCCTCTATTCGGGATCGCTTCGGGTCGCGACCTCGGGCTAGTTGAGGCTTTGCTTCACTTCAGCCGCTGCTATTATGGTACTTCGGTCGGGGTACGTCGTTGAGCCGAAGGGTTACTTCTTTCGTCCGTTTTCGGACAAGACACCGCCTTCAGGGTGCTTCGTCCGAGTTACCTCGACGGATGCGGGATGCTGATACGCTTAATTGAAAACCTTCGTACGGGCGCTTCGTTTGAATGGCCAAGTTGCTGTGGTCGGGCCATGGGCTCCTACGGTAGTGCCACGGCGCCGCTGCATTAGAAGGTCGTGGTTTAACGCTCAACAGAAAAAGGGGGGGAGAGAGAGAGAGAGGGGGGGAATTGGGGAGAGTGTTGGGTGAAGAGGAAGAGAGCTGCTGAGAGGCTATACGTAAGTCGGCCACTGTGGCCCCTGCACTTGTCGGTTCGCAATCTAAATGTGAGTCCTGTGTCTGAAGTTCCGGAAACAGTTTGTTCGCCAATCTGAGTATTAGTCCAACTTGGAATCAGTCTGTTCGTGACCTGAATACGAATTCTCATTCTGTAGCTCCGCTGTTCGTATAGCGGTCCAATCTGGAATCAATCCGAATGTGAGTCCCCAGTCTGAAGATCTGGAAGCCGTTCACTCGCTAATCTGAATATCAGTCGGTTTGTTCGTAATCTGAATATGAGTTTCCATTCCGAAGTTCAACCCAACCTGGAATCAATCCGAATGAGAGTCTCCAATCTGAAGTTCTGGAAACAGTTTGTTCGCTAAACTGAATATCGGTCCAACTTGGGATCAGTTAGTTCGAAATCTGAACATGAGCTCAGCCCTACGTGGAATCAATTCGAATGCGAGTCTCCAATCGGAAGTTCCGAAAACAGTTCGTTCGCTAATCTGAAGAACAGTCCAGTCTAGAATCGGTCTGTTCATAGTCTGAATGTGAGTCCTCATAGGTTCCTTCCATATCTAAAGCAGTTTGTTCGTAGTCTGAATGTCAGTCTCCATCTGGAAACTACGAAATCGGTTTGTTCGCTACTTGAATATTGGTCCAATCGGGAGCTCCCTAATCAGTCTGTTTGAGCGCTGAACATCGGCAACGATCTGAAGAATTGAGACCTGTTGAGGGGTGTGCAATCTGAAAGCAAGTCAAGGTGTTCGTGATCTGGGTACACCTGTCGAGATGCTTAAGTCCTGGGAGCAGTTTGATCGAAGTTTCGAAAGCGGGTTTTTGGTACAGTTCGCTTCCACGATAGGCGAGTCGGTCCAGGTTTTTCTCCACCCCTTTTTTTCTTTTCGCCCATCTTTAAGTTGTTCTCGTCCCCGGCTGATCTTCCTTCGAACACGAGCGTTGAGAAAACCCC